AAACGAGAAAATAAAGTATCTGCATGCTGGATACGAAGAGTTGAATATGTACCTATGTAACCTCTTATCACCATGTGATTACCAGACTCTGGATTTGCATGTATTCGTAGTATCTTCCAAGCTCCAGAATTTAGTAAAATAATAATTGTATTAAAGTTCAGTACTATGTGTATGTTGTGATAAACGATAAATTATTATTGGAAGATATGAAATTGTCATTAATTTATTTCAACAAAAATTAGTAATATTATAAAGAAATCATACTTCAGTATGTGATAAAGTAACCCTTAAAAGTATACAGGTATAGAATATATGCGATTAAAATGATTTATTTATTGTTTATTTATAAAACATAAATACCGATTTAAAAAATGTACAAAATTCATATGTCATTTCATTTATGTTCTCCTTACTATTTTCTGTGACCCACTGTTCACTGATTTGATCAGGTTTTTTATACATTACTAATAATTTATGTTCACTCTAAAAGTAATGCATACCTTATAACCTCTTTACTTATAATGTAGTATTACAGGAATAATAATTTTTAATTCCTGTCCTAGACAAGGAATAATCGGAAGGTTTTTGGAAAATGGAACCCTCTGCTGAAGGTTTTAAATACTTTGAAAGGTACCCCTCTTCAAAGAGTTAAAAATTGTTTTATTATTTATAATGTTGTTCTTGACAACGTTCAATATACTACAAAATTACGTATCAGGTTTCAACATGATATTGTAAGATACAATGACGGCCGAGTCCGTCAAACTTGAGCCGCTTGAACGGAAGAGGAGGTAAAATTCTTTTTTCAAGATCTCCAGATTTAACCTCATTATATTGTTTCCTGTAGGACTTTATAAAAGAAAAACTTTACCGAAAAGAACCAACGTTTATAAGAGATACTTGCCAACGAGTTAGTTATGAAACTTTGGAAAGTGTTGAATTATTTTTTAAGGGCAAAATAAATCATTGTACCGATGTATTTACAAGAATGTCCTTTCGAGTTTACCAACACAGTTTCAAGCAGGCCTTGAGTAGAGGCAGTGAGGGAACGCTTTTTTCGAGTTACTAGCGTGAGGGGAGTAAGTTATTCACCTCTGGAATAAACCCTTACAACTAGGCTTACAAACTGTAACTTAAAACTCTCTAATATAAGCATTTATCTGATCGATGAGAATTTATTTTTTTTCGTCAACACGAACTTCGTCTCCATACAAGCGCTCGTCACCAATTGCGTTTGCACCTTCCTTTCTTTCTTTTCCCTCGTTTGTTCAAAAACAACGCATACACGCACGCGAAACACATACGCACTAACACATCCTTATACTACGAACGCTTTACGTCGATAACAGTGTGGAACAAATTTTGACCTATGTTAGTTTTTGCAATAGCCACTATGTAATTCTTATAGAGTTCCTTACCCTAAATACGAAACCGAAAACCAAATTGCTGGGTCAGGTCCAGTTTTCGAAAAAACTAGGATTTTGTAAAAACGGTCGAATTTTTCAGAAAACCAAGTGTTACGTGAAAACTAAAAACGATAGGCAGTTAAAATTTGTCGCAAAAAATAAAGGAGACTTGCCCGATCACGTAGCTATAAAAATTTTGAATTTTGCGTATCATTAAATGTTTGTAAACGGTGATGAAAGTTTAAAAAAAGGTAGATGCGCGTACTTTGTATGCACTTCTGTTACATTTCTACGAAAAGTGGGTTGGCCAGCACAAATTTGCTGTGCACCATTGGATCCTGCAGACATTTCCGAAGAGGAAACTCCCCGTGGGAAACGTGACATCGGTTTTTCTTTCTTCTATCGATTATTAATATTTTGAAAGTATTAGATATGTGAAATGTTTTTAAAAACTAATCAAGTTTACTGGAACTATAAAGAATCCCTTACTACCCTTACCTTGGGTACTGTCCGAGGTTGTCTACAGGAGCAGCTCTATGTAATATTCAATACTAATAGGTGAAAATAGATATGGAGAGGATAACTCTTGCCAACCAAGTTGTAAGGGGAAAAACCCTAGAGAGCTTGCAAGCTCCCAGTTCGACTCTTTTGACTTCAAAGAATAATAAGAAGTTATATAAATTTGAGGATAAAACTAATCTGGTCGTTCCAAGTCTACTACCATCCGTTGCACGAAAACTAGCACTTTGGTCTCATTGGACAGTTTTCATCTTTTCTCATCCCATTTTCAATACTAATTTGTTATTCGTCAATATGATTACATGTAACCAATCAAAACTATGAACAAAGCACATACCGATCAACCACTCTTGTTCCTATGCGGCCTCGAGTGCCAAGTCTCGTGCAACGAACAGTAACTATACGGAGTATATCTTTGTTAAGAATTAGATCTTGCAAAATCTAATTTCCTTTCTTGCGTAGGACTTTGGCGTTTATGTAAGTACCAACATTAAGGGTATCGAACTGCTTCTCCTCAGACTTGTGGCTCTCGAATAGCAGTTCTCCTACTACCCTTACTTTAGGGGCTGTCCGAGATCATTCCGTGAGCAGCTCTATACAGTGCTCGATACAAACAGGTGAATACATATAGCCGTTCTAGGGGAAGACCATAAAGAGTTCGCCAGCTTTCAGTTGTAAATTCCTGCTCTAATATTTGATAAAACGTTGATTACCCAATTTTGAATACGCGGTCCATAATTTGCTCGATCATAATAAACGGAGTCTTGTACAGAGGCTCAAAAAACATTTTCATTACATTGACGCAGACAAGTATTTACATATGAACATCCGTTCAGCTTTTCATGCACAAATATTTGTTTTCTCCTGTAGTTCTCGGCTGTTTAAATTCTTAAACCATATTCATACTTGTCACCGTACTTCGCTCTGTTACTATGACCCGTTATTTAGACAATAAGTCATGGAATACAAATGTAAAGGATATTTCAATGTTCATAGTAATGAATGTCGATAAAAATCTGTACCTATTTATGTAAAGTTGGGAAATCACTTGATGACTAGGTTGGCGGTACAGAAACATGAAGAAGTTTTTCAGAAAAATTTAAAAAAACACAAGATAGATTACTATCTTACCGCTGGAAAAATTGAAAGTAACTCGAGCGGAATCTGAGTGAAATGCTCATAGGCTGTATCCGTCGGATATTCAAAAATCATTTTAACTAGTAGATTCTTTCCACGTGTCTGCAAGAAATCAGGCGAATAGGGACCATGTGGAAACTATCATCGTTTAAGTAACAGGACTGTACGGCATAGATATCCGCTATCACGTATACGTGATATGGCATATGAATTTTTAAATTACAAAGTATCCTTGGCAATAGACTTGGCACGGTTGCACTATCAAATTCCAGTGGTGCCAAAAGATATCGAGAAAGCTGAAGTTACAACATTTGGGCTTTACATATTTACGATTACACCATTTAGATTGCAGAATATTACCCAAACTTTTTAAGAACTCGTGAAGTTTATACTTTGAAGATTACACTTTTCTATTGTTGCTACATAGACAACATAATAGTTGCATATTTTGATATCTAGACAATATGAGTTACAATTTCGTTCATTATTTGGTAACTCAAGAGATAAAAATCCAAACATAAATTCAACAAAATGTTAATTTATGGAAAGTGAAATGCAATGCTTGAGTTACAAGGCTAATTCCAAGCAAATGCACTACACACGTTGAACGCGGTATTAAAGAGGAATAATATTTTATAAGTCATACATTAAAAAATTTGTTCATGTACTTTACAATGAATTTTACTGAAGCATTGTAAATAAATAAAGATTTTTTTCGTTGTCTGTTGCTTACGTACAGACGCAAATTTTTCATTTACGTGCCGCCTAAATGACAAGCGAAGCAAAAAGAGCTCCGCGTTTAACCTGTCCACGAGTATGTCTGTACAATTAAAGACTATACTGAACCAGAGACAATATCCGAATGGTTTTCAGTTATAATTAATTCCTACAGGTTTTCACCATGAACTCCAAGTTGTTTTCCTATTATAAAGGAAGTATCTTAAAGAGACTGAGAAAAATGATAAAAGACTGGTAAGTTATGGAATTAAAGCAGTAATTAAAGAAATAGAAACGTAAATATGATCATGGTTTCCTTGATTAAACAGATATCTCGATTAAATAGATTTATGAAATTAGGTATATGACAAACAAAATTCAATAATAAAATGAATAAATAAAATAAACTGGTTTTCATATTTATTTATTTATACTCATAGCGTTATGAGTGGTACGAAAATGGTAATAGGACTCTAAAATAGGAGTGTCGAAGTGCCTTCCCTCCAATAATTGACTCTCAAGTAATCGGTCCCGCACTACTAATCTAGAAGTTGCCTGAATCGTACTCTCAGTTTACTTCCCAATTGCTCATGAGCAACTTTAGATAGTATTTGATACAAACAGAAAACTTCTGCAGATGTGTATTTATAATAGTCATTAACCTGCTTGTGGTGGTGATCATATATAACTGAAGAAGTAAACGAATGTAAATAACTAGGTATGGACAAGGTAATTCTCAAATATCAAAAAAATGAATCACGTCGGTAAATTGGATGTCTTTAAGTTTATGTCTCGTCTATATTGGGATAGATATATAATTTATTATAGTGTGATTTTAAATTGAAATAAATTAAAAATTGTACAATTTTTTGTCGGAATACAAAATTAGATTATTCCATGTCAGAGTAATTAAAATATAATAAAGTTCATTATAAATTAATTCAATGACTGAAAAACTCGTATACAAATGTATTCAAACCTCAAAATGTTGCAAAACGCTTTTCTTTCGATAAAGAAGTAATTTTGAAGTGTAGCTAAGTCATGCATATGCATTAAACTACCATTGACACTTATAATAAGTAGAAATAACAAGTTTTTCGAAAAGAATAAACTGTTAAAAATAACTGAATCTTCTCTACCTTTTTTCTGAAATTTCCGTTAGCGGCATGAAGGCGAAAAATTTGTTTAGAGATAATTGGGATTAAAATAAAAAACACATTGTGTACCCTCCACAGTGTATTTGGGACCGAGATTGCATTGAAAATATTAGATATAACATCGATGTACGAGATACTTTTTCAATACGTTACTTAAATATCTATAAGAGATACACATACTGTATAAGTAGATGACATAATATTACGACTTTATAATATTCGACTCATTCACTAACAAACAACATTTAATATGATTTTACTTTGTTTTTTCATTTTTCTTACTTTTTTATACACTTAGAATATCATAACGACATTGACAATATATATAATATATATCTGCTTTTTAATCGTAGTGTTACAGAATATAATAACGCGTGTGTAATTCGAATGTCGCGAAAACTGCTTACGATCAAAATAAAACAGTTCGATCAATTTCGTCCGATAAGCTCAAGTACACAATCATATTGACCACATTCTCTTTCAGAGGGCACTTGGATTTTCAGAGATTCCTTGCGAAAAGTCTTTCTTATGTTCTAGAAAAAGCTTCGAACGAACGATATCACAATGAAACAAACATTAAAATATTCTCTATCGTATTTTATAATTTCAGGAAAATCGAATGCAGAAGTAAGTGGTAAATGAGAAAAAAAATCATGAACACGAAGATAAAACAGATAATATAAAAACAAGAAGATCGCTCGCTAACGAAACGTTTATCTTTAATTGATAAACAATAACGTACATATCGACGATCTTATCTTGTGCCACTCTTCTTATAAATTGTTTAAGATTGATAAAATCCATATTTGAAATTCTAATTATCGTAAAAAGTTAAAATTCGCTTGATTTCGTTCCGTACTTGTGTACCGCGAGATACATAAAAATCATGTAAGAAGTACATGCTCTGTGTTCAAGCAGTTTCAAAATTTCTTCGTTCGTTCTGAATCTTCTTCATATTAATGGCAATATTTCCATGCTGACAGCCAGTAATCGATGTTGATAATGTTCGGCGAACGATCTACAGTCTAAAGTAAATCCTTATTGATATTCTACGGATTGATTTTAGTACGCATGGTTTGCGACAAAAAGTGCAGCATCGCCAGCTGCTCCCTTTACACCACCTTCGTATTTGCCAAGTGCCGACTCGCTGTTGGCCTACAAATGATAATATTCAAATTAAAACCTGACTAGACTTGTCACCCATTATGAATAATAACAAAGCTTAACAATAAAGATTAATAGACAAAAACATATAATTATTATGAGATTGCGGATTTTATGTATGTACAACATACTTGTGTTTTTATTTTACTTGAAGCCTAATTAACCATAATAGGTTAAATAAATTGTTGTTTAATTACAGCTCTTTAAAATCATTCCATAAAAATCCGCAATCCAGTTGTTAGTATTTATGTAACACAAAGAAACAAGAAATGAACATTCATTTGCTATATAATACTTACTATAGAAATATGTCTCATAGAAAGAAAAATAAAGATTTAGTAGGAATGAGTTTTCACATAGAGAGAAGTATTAGCAGCTACGCTAACAATACTGCCAGCAACGTATTTGCCTTGACTAGCTGCTCCATTTGCCTAAACAAGCACACAGTATACACACATGCGAAAAAAAAATGTTAAAAGAAAAAAATGAATTGTAGAATCAGAATACAAGCAGAGTTGAATAATTCTAAAAAGAAAGAACAGAAATATAAAATACACAATGAAAAAAATTGTTTACATACATAGATGTGAAGAACAGTGTGACAGGAGTTCATGTGTTAGAATAAATATAAAAATTTTAATGAAGCAAGCTTAACATATAATGTCTACTCTATTAAGGATCAAGTCACAGAAAATGTTTGCAAAAGAATGCATGTAAAAAGAAATAAAAAGAAAAAGAGTATAAAACAGAGAAAAAAAGAATTAAAAATTTTATCTTGACTTTGATAAAATTACCTTAGCTCTCTTGATAAGTTCTTCCTGACCAGCGGAAATTTGTTCCTTTTTACCTGCCCATGCGCGGAGGACAGATGCTTGAAGTGCACGACCGTAACTGAAGGTCAATGCCCATGGTTTTTTGACTGGGAACTTGTTGATAGCGTCTAAGTTCACAGACGCCTCTTCTTCTGACTGTCCGCCGCTGAGGAACGTAATACCGGGTACTGCGGGTGGTACAGTGCGCATCAAAGCGGTCACCGTGGCAGCAGCAATCTCCTGAGGGGTTGCCTTAGTTGGGCAACTTTGACCTGGTGTTACCATGTTGGGCTTAAGAAGGGTTCCCTCAAGATACACATGATGGTCGGCCAGTGCCTGAAAAATATGTTCCGATATAATTAAAACGAACATTTTTATACAATCATGAAATAAATTACAAAATAAATATAAAAAG